GGGCCAGTTTATCCTCTGTGTGGAAAAATAAAAAGCTGCTTTGGCCACTCCCCTTTAACCTTTCTTTTGAATTTTGGGTGGGGCTTCTGTGGCTGAGATGACCATATTAGGGATGCTTTCTTTGTGACATCATCCAGAGCCACAAGGAGAAAAAAACTGCTGAAATTTTCCATTTGAGCTCCTGGATCATAGGACGATTGTCCATTAGTGCACATATGCTTGTGTTTACCACGAGCACGGAGGGCGGGGCAAGAGACCTGGCGGATGAAAGCAACCCCCAAATGTACAGAATGGCTCCGCCCCGCTGAGCCGACGGTGTGATTTGTTTTTGAGTATGTACAAAATTTTCAATCGTTTAAAAAGTTTAAAGCGCCCAAGTTTCACCCATCAGGGTCACGTTTGCTCAGCATTATGGGAAATGTAGTATCTGCAGCCTTTCTTACAGTGAACATGTGGGAAAACCTCCTGTGTTAATGTCGTTTCACTTCATGGTGTTTTCCTTTTATACTGATGTTACTCTTCATGTGTGCAGAGAGGAACGTGGAGGATATGAAGGTAAACTTTTCCTTTTAATGGTGGTTTGAGTTTTAAAACACTGATGGAGCAGAAAAACGAGATTTGTCAGCTGCTCGTTGGTTCTTTCACACACAGTCGGCTCATGTTTCACTTCCTGGTTTCTGTAATCTGAAAACGCACTGAAAGCTGTTACTGAACCTTTGGGGTGCTTGTTGATCAGCTGACATTATGACATCATGCATTTAGATGAATCCTCAGGAAATGTTCTGGTTTGTGTCTGTTCATCACAAGAATGACGTTTGAATTCTAAATGTGGTGCAAACGTAGTTTTATTCAAAACTCCGACCTTTGACCCGCTTTAAGAGCCACCGTCTGCTCTGCAGCCTGTTCTTGTACAAACCAGATTGTGAGCTCGCTGAAGCTGCACATATGAAAATGTAAACTGTCCTTTTTTATGTAAAGGGAATAAAATCATGAATGTGTAAATATTTCACAGGCTCCTGCTGATTGGTCGCTGCCTTCATGTTAGCAGGAAATGACGGCTGAAGGTTCAGAGCTGCGAGCT